TATGCCAGTTCCTCTCATTGGGAACTGACCATAGAAAGTACTGTATAAAGTTGCTCTGTAAACACACCCACCCACCCTTGAGGAAAGGCCATTTCCTGAATATTTCTCATACTTTGGCACATAATCTTTTAAAAGTCAACCTCATCCCCACTTGCACCAATGTTTTCCCTCCATTCTGTCCCCCCTTCTGAGTGCTTGAGTTGGACCTTCGCCTTGACCTGTACAGGCAGCTGATGTAACAGGTGGGTGCCCTGGAGCAGGAAAGGATGGTTTGTTTGGGATTTGGGCTCCAACTAATTCATTTGCCTTAGGCATCTTATTCCAAGCTTTTACAGCTAATATGCACAATTGGATAGTATGATGAAAACTGGAAGCCCTCCACAATATGGTCTTCCCCAACCTAGTGTCCTCCAGATGCTTCAGACTACAACTCCCAGCATTCTTGACTATTGGCCTGCCTGGCTGTGGCTGATTGGAACTGGAGTCCAAAAGCTCTGGACTCAGGTTGGAGAATATCAGTATCATATTATAGCCAGCATTCTTTTCTTGTTAGCCCATTGATAATGACCAGATAAACATCCACTGGACTCCCGAATGTAATACTCTGGGTGCATCACCTCTCTCCTCCAGCACTAGAAAGGTGTCCCTTCCATTGAGACAACAGGTGGCAGCCACTTCAGGTTGTGAATTTTGAGCACTATTAATGGTAACCAAATGAGGGATAGATACAAGCTACTGGGTGGGATCCACTGGGAAATTCTCCTGTGAAAGCCCCATTTAAGAGCATCTCAGTTCATTTAAGTGAACACATTTTTTTTTCACACAGAAAAGACACACATCCACATCCCATCTTGATTAGTTCAGGCATCCAAATGCCGTAGCATGCCCTGGCCCCCATTGTAACTATGTGACCTAACTGGTTCCCCTTCTCTTCTCTCTTTGCTCTATAGGTTCACGCCTGCCCTAATTCCTTCCCCACTCCACCCCATTAAACTGCACTGAGATCTACTCACTCCAAGCTGCTCAGCTGATGGAAGGTGACACCCACTCCCTTGGCCCCTTCTAATCCATGGGATTTTTGGGTCACTCAGGGGGAGTCCGATTAAGGGAAACTGGAAACTTTAATCTCCCAGCCACGGAAAAAGGGGCAGAGCTCTGGGAGGCTGAGGGTGAAAGAACCACACAGCAAAGAAGGCAGCAACAGGGGCAGACCGCAGGGATCAGATCCCACAGGTACCTTGGGTAGCTATATGGGTGTCAGACCAGTCCCATTGAAGGGTAGAGCCATTCAGGTTTGCACCTTCGTGCAATGTGTTCGGGTGGAAAGCGTTTCCAGCAATCCTTGCAGGATGCAAGGTTGTCAGCAGTGCACAGGAGCAACGGGCATTTGGGCCACTGTGCACACTGGAATTGAAGGACTTGGATTACTTGCTAACAAGCAACTTGGCCCAACTGCTAATGTGCAACATTTGTTAGCCATCTCTAATGCGATGAAGGTACTTTTCTTGCTTGTACAATGGATTCAAGAGCATGCTCTGTGGATACTATTTCATGTTTTTGGGAAGGGGGAAGGGGAAGCTTCACAGTAAAATTCACAGGCTTGGTCTTGAATATTTTCAAGATTGCATGTGGGAAAAATGTGGAGGAAGCAAGGCATTTTAATAGCATTTATTGTGGCTACTTGTATGTCTCATAATGGGAGAATGTTTCCCTATATATCCTACATATGACATGCAGTCTGAAACACAAGGGGCAGACTCACCCTCCTTCTCGAATAGTCCATGTGCCTTTGGTGCTTCCAGTGGGTAAGCAGATGTGTGGGGCGCTTCGCAACCCCCCCCCAACATGCCTAATATTATTGAAGTCCCCCACTGCATATCCAGTCTTCTTGATTATTCTGTTTTTGCAGCCAAGGTTTCAGCTGCTCATCCTACCTTCCCCTGCTTGCTTTCAGTTCCTTGCACTACATCTAATGGTGGTATTTAAGTACTTCCTTGCAGTCTTCAAAGATGATCTCAGTCTCTCTCATGTTTAGCTCTCCTCTCTTTATGTTGCTGCCATTGGGCTCTCTTCTTTGGTGCTTGCTCAAACTCAAGTAGTGTGTGCAGCGCTAGGAGGCTGGATTATATACTTGAATGCCTCTCAAGGAAGAATAGTACATTATGTGATGCACACCCTGGGTGCTGATTCTTTTCTTTTCTCTTTTGCTACTCCCCAGAAGAGTCCTCTATTCTGAACCACACACACACACACACGGACATGACATGCACACACGCAGGCACCCCCTCACCACCTGAGGAAAGCAATGGAGCCAGCTCTATGTGCTGTGGAAACCTTGGCAGAGCTGAAGTTGAAAGCTAAGTATTTAGCATTCTTTACAGGGGTCAAGTCCCACCTGGGCAGCTGCTCTATGCAAAGGGAGGCCTGCAGTTCCCTAAACAGCAGTGTTTAGGTTTATTGGTATTTGTGGGATGGATCTTTACATCCAGAATCTGAAAAGACCCAGATTTGTGACTGTTGTAGGATGCTTATGCAAAATGGGCTTGGGATCCTGGCTTGGGAGTGGAATGCTGACTACACTGGTTTGGTGGGTCTCTTCTTTTAGTTGGGCCTTGCCTCCCCTCAGCTTCTTGGGCTCTCGTCAGGAATTCCGCTAGTTCTGAACTATTTACAGTTAGAAAAAGTTCACTACTAGCAGAACTCGGTCGTGCGCCCTACACTCATCAGGGGGCAAGGCCCCAGGACATGACTTGGAAGAGGCGTCAGGACAAGCCGTGAAACTGGAGGGGCTGGGCAAGGGTACCGAGCATCTCCTAGACAAAGTTGTGCTAGCAACTTGTCCACGTACAGGCTCCTTGTGTTTAGAATTCAAGGCCCTTCCTGGACGGGTTGCTGTTTCTCCATACAGTCCAGCCCCCATCACACAGAGAAGGGAAGAAACGGAGTGTGCCATCCTGAGTCCCATCCCAAATAACCAACAATCACGGTGGAGGCCAAAGCTGCATCTTCATTGCATTTATTGATGTAACCAGCAGTGTGGGAGGAGGCATTTCATTTACAAGGTGATCACTGTGGGAGTGGAAAGGGGATGCAGAGATAAGATGAATCAGAGGAATGTTGAGAAATGCAACCACGGCCCTGCAGTGCCTGTCTGCCATTCCGAGGTGCAAAAAGGACTGTGCAGCAGGCAAGGCAAGTAGATTATAATCAGTATGCAAATTATGGAGTGAAGCAGAAAATATGGGATACCCCCTGAGCCACTGCTTCCAAAGGGCTGTGAGGAACATGACTTGTCCCTTCTGGCTCATTAGATTCTACTCCACCTTATTCCCACTGAAAGCTCTTGTACTTTTTCTCTCCCCTTTCCCACATCTAACTTTTCTTCTTTTTTTCCTGTGGCATTGACAGGTGAGAAAGACAGGTAAGGAATAGAGGGAAACCTGTAGCATAACTATCCCCAGAAGCCCAAGAAATTGGGGCCCTCACGAGGCTCACTAAATGAGTGATTCATGAACACTGGTCTTTGTTTTATTCTCTTCCTTTACTATTTGGTTAGAACACGCACTGTGAGCAGCAATGTCAGATTTCAAACCTTATCTCAGCCAGGAACCCACCTGATATGCTTTGGCAAAACATATTTCTCAGCTTAAGCTTTTGTCAGTGATAAAGATAATACTGGCCTGCTTTAAAGGGCTATAGTAAGGATTATTGAGACAGTGCATTTGAAGTGCTTTGAACATGTTTCTAGGCTACCTATGGCTGGTTCTTTTGTCACCTAAGGTGCAGCCAGCTGCTTCCCTGAACTGAAAGGACTAGAACATAGATACCAGGGAGTTTCTATTATTCCTGTGACAGTCCTGTGAAAGGCCCCCTGAGGAGTAGGAGAAGCTGCTGCAGGAGGTTCTGCAATCCCCCTTTTCATGGAAATTATTTGAAGCAAAAAAGGTTGAACAGACATCTCTCAAGGGATAGACTGGATGGCTCTCTGGGTGCCTTCTGTCATGATTCTGAAGTCCCTGCTGCAGTGTGGGTTTATGCAAGGAATACAAGGAAGGCATGCAGGGTTGCATAGCCCTGCATCTTATATATCTGTTCCATCAGGCAGTTCTGCTATCTCATGCTTTACAACTGTCCTTTACGAAGTGTCTGCAGTCCCAGATGCAAGGACCCCTCAAATACAAAAGCTTGTCTGAACGTGTATGACTGTGGTCTCCCAATGCACTAAAGGGTATTGGGTTGGCTCTCTCCAGGCATTGGTGTGGGTTCTTGTTGCCCCCTGCTGGATGGAATGAAATGTGGAGGAAAAGAAAGAGCGGGCTGGGATTGCAGCTTTGCTGCATGACAGGAGAAAATGCCTCCTTCCTCTAAGCCACGGTCTGCAAAGCAGACCTGTGGTGCTGATGAACCAGTTCTGATGCCAACGAGGATGGGCTGTTCTCTGATGGAGGGGGAAATAGATGAACATGTTCCATGCAGTTAGAATTCTGGTTTGTCAGGCAAGCTGTTCATAACACACCTGAATTCCCAGTGCTCAGAGAGAGATGCATGCATAGCCCAGCTGCTCTTCCTTTTACAGAAATGCCTGCACCAACAGAAGCAGGGAAGGCTGGGCCAGGCAGACGCCACTTCCACGAGACAGGGGACTGGGCTGCACTGGAGCACATGGTATGTGACTCTCCTGGTTGCCGCCTATGGTTTTGCCAGTGTCTATGGCTATTTCACTCACCTCAGTGGAACAGGATGATGGCAGTCCATGAATGCGCTGCTTATAGTGCAACGTTAAGTATAGAGACCTGTAGAGCAATGCCTGCCGGAATATGTAATGCAAGCGGCCTGTACAGTAGTCAGATGCCTGCCGGGATCAATGGAATGGAAATGGGCCACTTCCAGGCATTATACACACACTGGGAGCATCCTGCTGTGCAGGGCAAGGGGCAGCACTGTACACAGAAGCAGAGTTTCCCCAGAGGTAGAGTGGGTGGTGTGGACATTGCTCATGGTTATGCTGGGGACACCTGGCTGGAGGACACTGAGGAAACCTGGGTGGCTTGTGAGGAACCTGAAACGTCATCCTCATCACCAAAAGGGCTCTTGCCACAGAAGACAAGCTTCAGCATGCAGAAACGGAACTGCAAGGGAGAGAGAGAGAATCAGCATGGATGTCAGAGCCCAAGGTAACTCTAGGCACACCCCTATCTTCACACCTTAGCATCTAGGCATACCTTCACTTAAGCTAGACAGGTGTGGTGACATCTCCAGTCTGCAACACCCAGGATCTAGCTCTGATTTCACATTTCAGGGAATGCTTTCCACATTGATTCATCTGCCATGAAGCCCTTGCGCATTGCAGAGGATTGTGGTACATCTGCCAGGCTTCACTGGGTTGCAGTGGACGGGAAGACACTTGCACTGGGAAAATGTCTTTCAGATACACTTGTTGATTATTCCCGATTTTCTTATTGTCCACCATTACTGACTTTGTAGAAGTTCCTAACCATATGGTGTTTCCAAATTCAGTATGAAAAATACACAGCCATTTCCAAACTTGCAGCCTCTCCAAAGAAATGTATTATCACACGTGCCGAATAAGAAGTTCCAGAGATGTAGCTAAATTGAAAGGGGGCACTAAACTGATATCAAGTGGTACATGCCAGAGGCTGCAGTGAGGTCAAGGAGAAACGCTGACACGCGTAACAAGTTTGGGGCTCTATATCCTTTGCGCGAAATTCTGGTCATAGGAGGCAGGGAGAAAGACACACTCAGGGCAAGGGGTGGGAACACCAGAGCTCTAACTGATTCCAGGGAGACCCAATGGGGCATATAAGCATTATGAGATGAGCCCTTCACTCTCTCTTCTTGCCCAGCCCAGCTTGGCCTTAGCTGCTTTCTGTCCATACTGACCTGCTTGTTCATGAAGACGTAAATGACGGGGTTGTAAACAGCGGAGGCCTTGGAGAAGACAGCAGGGATGGAGGCCAGGCGAACATCAAAGGGCTCTCCACGGTGCGACACTACCCACAATGCAAAGGAGGCATAAGGCAGCCAGCACACCAGGAAACCCATCACCATCACTATTACCATCTTGGTCACCTCTCTCTCAGCCTTCTGCGTTGTGGCTGACTGCTCCTGCTGCTTGGCAACCTGATGGGGTGGGGAGAGCATGAGCCATGAGCGAGAATCCCTGACAACCTGGTGGCAGGTTGCACACAGTGCAGAGATTGGCAGTTGGTGTCACTGACATACATCATGGGGAACGACAGCTCAGGGAGTGATATATTTGCTGCGCCAGCAACTGGTTGACAAGCTACAGAAGAGGGAGACAGGGTCTCAGTTTCTGCTATGAAATATTTTGCTGCAATAAATGCTGGCTCTGCTCACCGCTCCTTCGCCATGACCTCTGCCTCTTATGATGGAGCCTGGTACCTGCAGAGTAACTTTCTGAATCCAACAGCCTAGCTAAGAATCAGAGGTGGAAGAGAGCTTACGCCAGACATGGTACAAACCAGGCTGTTCCCACCAAGAACTTCACCAGTAGCACCCAATCTTTTCCTGAAAACCACCAAGACTAGAGCTTGTATAACCACTATTGATGGTGCTTCCAGGGTGCTTTTAGGGTTTCAGCCTAAAACTCTGCTTCCCCAACAGTTTGAAACCATTATTTTCTTGCCCTACTTTATAGCTGATAACAGAAACTGATCAACCAGGATGTTCTCCTTTACCAGGCTCATTGAATGGGTCATCTGGCACAAGACTGTGTCTTGTGAGTGAGGGGGACTCTCACTCCCGCCTTTTCCCTTTTCCTTAAAATGAAAATCTGGGGGATTTTCTTCATTACACTGCAGAGTAGGGGGAAGCAACTCATTGCAGGACTGATAGCAAAAACAGCACTGGGCAAGTTGCTGGCACAGGCAGGCAACATACAAGGACTTTGGACTCACTGTTGCAGCTGGCACTGTGGCCATGTCTGCCAAAGCTCATGTTTGCCAAATATTGCTTGAATTGCACTCTCCTGTACAGAACTGAAATTTTGGCATTTCCTCTGCTCCATTCTTATGTATCTCAGAATGGTATGTCTCCAGGCAAAACTAGGTATGGTGTTAAATGCATGAATGTGTTTATGTCTGCAGTTCCCCCACCCCAGAACAGGGACTGAGGCAGGCAAAAAGGGGGAAGATATCACTTTCCCCACAGGCCCAATGAAAATCTCCCTTCCTTAGTTCCAAATTTGCTACTAGTTCCTGGCAGGAAAGTTTTATTAGTTCCAGTGAGAACTTTCCTCGTACAGTTAATAGGATCTAAAGGGGTAAATTGTCATCAGCACTGTAGAAGAGGGAAAGTGTTTGTGCCCCCTTCTTGCATGCTGAAGTCCCAATCCTTGCCTATTAACACTCTCCTACCCGGTGGCTGTTCTTTAAAGGGGGAAATCCAGGCACACAGAAAGCAGTGAGGCATCTAGTCTGCCTCTTAGACATGCAGCACCTGAGGGATTTTACATTTACCCGATACTGTGATAGTAAAGGGAGTTGCCTCCAGTAACAACAGACAGGGGTCCAAACCCCATTATTTCAAGGAAGTGCTTTGAATCCACTGCAGCTGCCCTCTGTGGAGCAAGGAGCCATGTGACTGGGACAGAACATGGGCTGTTCATCTAGGACATCAATGTCAGAAATCCTGGGCTGCTTCTGTTGAAAGGCTATCCGATATTGGGGCTGATGGTTATGAACAGCATTGGAATAGTAGGACTGCTGGAGAGAAGGCAGCTTCATAGGTTCTTATCCCACCCCTCTAAAGACTCCCTATCCCTTCCATATTGCCACTCTGATGGCGGTGCTGTTTGACACCTTTTCTTAAATAGAGTGGGGCGCAGAAGGGAGTTGAGAGCTAGTACTCACAGCACGCAGGGTGAGGAGAAGACGGCCATAGGAGAACACAATAATGGAGAGTGGCACTCCAAAGCAAAAGCTGAAGAGGAACAACACATATGACTCATTGTTCCACTTGTTGTTTGTTGTATACCAGTCAGGTCCACAGGAGCACTGCAGTCCCTCGGGGATATACCTAAGGAAGTTAAGAAGCATTCAGCAGGGAGCACCTGCTGTGAACAGCCAGGGGACAGTATTCACCTCATCCTACCCACAATAGGCATGACAAAAGTGGGGGCAGTGAAGGGAATACACCAAACCCCACCTGGCCCAATTTGCACAGCTATTAATTGCAGTCTTCTGTCTCCTGAATTCCAGCTATCCCCTTTTCATCTGATCCTAGCATTCCCCTTCCCAACGCTTCCCTGTCCAGCACGTACCTGCTCCAGCCCAACAGTGGTGGTACGGCAGCCACCAAGCCAAAAACCCATGTGATGATGCAACCGATGATGGCATGAGTACCCCTGAAGGTGAAGTTTCCCAGGGGTTTGCAAATGACCAGGAATCGTTCAAAGGCCACAACTGCCAGAGACCATAAGCTCACCATACCTGGTTGGGAGTAGGAAGAAGACAGAAAATGTCTGGCCAGCTTTCTTCAGCCACATAACTGTTCTCTGTATGGGACTGCAGGTGCAGATGTTAACTACACACCTCTGCTGTGCCTTCTCCAAACCATCTTATCTTCTGCTTTGATCTTATTCACAAAGTACACTTCCTGAAATCACACTGTCTTTTGCTTATTGCCAAGCCCTTTAATAGCATCCTGCAGTCCTCAGCTATCCCCACATTCTTGTGCCTGTCTTTCTTCCCAGAATTATTTCTAGGCTGCCTTTAGGGTGCAACCCTTTCACATTATGCCCCCATAATCTCAAACCACCATCCTTCTGCTTTCCTAGCTCTGCACATTTCTTCCTGCCCTCTCACATGGCCACTCGCCCACTCCAGCACTAGGAAGGATTCCCACAGTTGCTTACCACCCAGTGTTGCAGCAAAGCCCTCTATCTTGCAGGCAGTAGGACCCAGGGCGAAGTACATCTGGGAGAAGCTGTAGAAGGCAGTAGTAGATCCAACACAGACCACAAGTAAGTTTGACACAGCAAGGTTGACCAGGATGTAGTTGAGGTGGGATCGGAGCTTCTTGTACTTGAAGGTGCAGAAGATGGTGAGGACATTGATGGGCACCCCAAGTACAATCAGTAAGAACATAAAGGCAGCCATGCCCATAAAGAGACCTGGACTACCCAGGTGAGTCTGAGGTACCAGGAAAGGGCTTAGGGTTGTGATGTTGGCAACGTCCAAGGGCATGGGGCTGAAGAAATCTTCAGGGAGGTCATTCTGGGATTCAGGCCTAGTTTTGTGCATGGTCAGGATTGCACTGCAGGAAGGGGGAGGATGACTGAGAGAAGGAAGTAGTGAGGTTGGAGGGCTGGAAGGAGCTGGGATGTATGTGGGATTGAATGGATGGGGCAGAGAGATGGGGGCAATAGAAAGGGAGGGATAGAGCAGGACAGTCTGTGAGGCAGTTAAATGCGACAGGGCATGGGAGGCAGGCGGAGACAGAGAATCTGGCTTCAGTTCACGTCCCTTTGTTCCCCAGAAGGCAGGGAGTCACAAGCACCTGGACAGCCTGGGGTACCATGGCGAGCGGGCAATGATTCACAGAGTGGTCCTACAAGCCCTTTTTATACTATAGGGGTCCTGGGAGGTTTTCTGGCAGGGAGACAAATGATCTCTTCTCCCTGCCCCCCCCAACATTCCTGTCCTCCTTAATCGCCCTTAAGGCTGGAAAGCCTCACTAAGCCAAGCTTATCTGCAAGGACTGTGGAGCAGCTGCAGCCAAAGGGGCTAGGAAAGACGGGTTTAGTGGCCTGCCAAGCTGATTTGCAGATACCTAATCGGACAGTGGAGCCTGATTAACGACTCAAAGGGGGAGGAGGGCAGGTCAGATAACAAGAGGGGTTAAGAAGCTGAGATGTGAAGTTGAGGAGCAAATGCAGAGACTTATTTATTTATTTATTTATTTATTAAAACATTTTTATGCTGCCCCATTCGCCGAAGCCTCGGGGCGGCTTACAAATGTCCTTACAGATGTCCTTGTCTCCCCTAGTATATCCCCACCTGTGGCTCAGGCAACCCTCTGCCATCTTAGATCCAGACTTTCTCTCCTTATCAGTGTGTGCGATCTAAAGCAATCTTTCCTACAGGCATTTCCCATCTCTGAGATTCACACTGAGACTTTCAGATAAGGCTTTGATCTCCACATCACCGGCCTTCATTCATAGAATTCTCTTGGAGACACTGGTTTTTAGTGCTGGCCCTCCCTCTTCTGCCTCTTCCATCTCCATTTCCTCCTGCAGAAAATATGTTAAAGAAAAGAAAGTTGGAAATGCTACATGGTGCCTGCTGATCATTAGTGGCAGGAGGTCTGTGTCTGGACACACCTTGTTTGTGCTGACACAGTTACAGCCAAGTCTCCTCTTTCAGGCTGTTTTCTGATGATAATTTCTGAAATGAAGTTTCTGTTAACAGTGCTCATTATTTTGGCACTGATCCAGTGCAAATGCTTGGTTACTGTACATATATAAGGAGGAAGGGGGCTAGGAGCCAAACCTTGCTGTGAGAGGAAAAGCCGATTTAATTTCCATCCCGGTTCTACTGTAGACACTCCTCTAGTTCCCTATAAATCAATCAAGTGTGACATATCCTGGTCTTGGCAATTATAAGGAAACAGTTTTTAAAAGATACCCTTTAAACCTGAGGCACTATTGACAGGGAAACAGCTTTGCCTTGGTTCTCACTTCCTCTTTTATATGGATAAAGCTCCTCATTAATGTAGTAAAAATAATTTTTGTTAAATTATGACAGATGCATCTGTTAGGCTTTGACTACACATGACAGTCACACATAATGGGTACTGCACCTGCAAAGAGCCTGTTGCCGGCCAGAATACCCAAGCTGCAACGGTTTTGGGCGGGAACTCCGCACCCCTCCCCCTTGGTGCTATATAAGGCAGAGCGCCCACCATTTTCCTCAGTCTCTGGAGACCGGTAGATCGCCCCCTAGCAGAGCATACTACTCATCAGAGTTGTTAGAAAGAAAGACTGCTGTCCCGTCCCTCAACACCGAGTGGGAACCGAGGGCGGGTTGTGTGACTGCACAGATGACCACTCGAATAACGACAGTTACAGGTAAGTAACCTGACTTTCTTCTTCATGGTCTCTGTGCATCACACATAATGGGTGATTAATAAGTTTCACTCACCGGAGGTGGGGCGGTGTCGTCAGTGAAGGATGGATGATAGGATGGCCCGTCCAAAGGAGCAGTCCTGCCTGGCCTGGACATCAAGCCTGTAGTGTTTGGTAAGAGCAGAAAGTGGAGGATATTATCAATGGAAGCTAATTCTGGGTTAAAATGATTTGTTTCTGCAAACGCGGTATAGCATTTCCATTTCGCCTCATATGATCGGCGAGTGGACAGTTGAAGGGCAGATTGTAAGATAAAGTTGAGCTCTCGCCGTGATGTAGCGTCAGAGGCTAATTGGGCAGGTTCTCCCGGTACCGACTGACATTCTGGTGTCGGGACCGAGGAGTTCTGTGGAAGCAAGTAGGGATCGACCATGACAGCTAGTGCAGGAGCCACACAGTAAGATTGAGGGTATTGAGGTCAGGGTAAAAGATTGTCTCCTTCCCCTGCATAATCAGGTGAGGAATTTGTGGCAGACGACAGAACATGTGTCTTGACAGCCTGAGAGTGGTCGAGAACCAGGGCTGGCAGGGCCACCACAGAGCAATGAGAATCAAGTGTGCCCGGTCCCAAGCAGCTTTCTCCAGAGTGCGAGTGATCAACGGGATTGGTGGATAAGCATACAGGAATGAATCCAACCAACTCACCATTAATGCATCCCCTAATGAGTTTGGACCGATTCCCGCCCTGGAACAGTAGGTCATGCACTTCGAATTTGATGCTGTCATGAACAGGTCTAGAGTTGGGGTACCCCACCAGGTAAAAAGATTTCTGCACACTCGATTGTCCAGTTCCCACTCGTGGGTTGACGACATCTTCCTGCTCAGGGTGTCTGCCTCCTGGTTGTGAATCCCCACAAAATGGATTGCTGTTAGCGAAATCCCCCTGGGGATACACCAATCCCATATCTGCATGGATAGCTGAGCTAACGGTACCGATTTCGTATCGCCCTGTTTGTTCAGGTAAAATACGGTAACCATGTTGTCAGAGGCTACCTGTACCGACCAGTTTCGAAGTGTGGGCTCGAATGATTGTAGCGCTTTGAACACTGCCAGTAACTTGAGGAAGTTGATGTGATTTACTCTCTCGTGTGCTTGCCAGGTGCCTTGTGTCCGTAAGTTAGAGCAGTGTGCTCCCCATCCTGTGAGGGATGCATCGGTGTGGAGCGAGATGGAAGGCTGTCGCTGGTGAAATGGGACGCCGACTGTGAGATTTTCCAGGTCCATCCACCAAGTCAGCATCTGGCGAACTGAAGTGGGCAGAAGAAGAAGCCGTCTTGGCGAATCGTGGAGGGGATGAAAGGCTGTGTTGAACCACAGCTGAAGTGGCCGCATTTGAAGTCTGGCATTGGGAACTATGATGATTGTGGATGCCATATGGCCCAAAAGTTTTTGTATGAGTAATGCCTGAACCCGTCCGCTTCTTTGGACCCGACAGGCTATTGAGCAATGTCTGTCCATATGGGTTTGTGGTAAATATGCCCAGGCTTGAACCGAATTGAGTTGTGCCCCTATAAACTTGATGACCTGTGAAGGAGTGAGACAGGATTTCTCGGTATTAATAAGGAGTCCCAAGTCTTCCAAAAGAGTGCACATGGCGTGAACATCTGGTACAAGTTGGTCCCGAGAAGAAGAAACTATAAGCCAATTGTCCAAATATGGGTAAATTTGGAGTCCTTGTTGGCGAAGGTGAGCACATATCGGAGCCATGCATTTTGTGAATACCCTAGGGGCTGTGGCAAGTCCAAAAGGGAGTACATTATATTCAAAAATGTCGGGACCGACCGTGAATCGGAGAAACCTCCTAAAAAATGGGTGGATGCCGATATGAGAATAGGTATCCTTCAAGTCGATAGACGTGAACCAATCATCTCTCTCTAGCAGGGGGAGAATGTTTTGTAGGGTGGCCATACGGAATCTTCTAGTCGTGATAAAGGTGTTAACGCCTCTTAGGTCGAGTATGGGGCGTAAGCCACCATCTCTCTTCGGTACCGTGAAATATCTCGAGTAGAAACCGCAGAGTCAATCAGAGTGCGAAATTTGGCAGATTGCTCCCTTCTGGAGTAACTGAGATACTTCTTCTTTAAGAATTTTTTATGGTGCGGTGTATGAGAATGGTCCCAAAGGAGAACGACATCAAATTCGATTCTGTATCCAGATTCAACTATGGAGAGGACCCATTTGTCAGATGTGATGGTCTCCCAAAGAGGGAGTCGGCTTTGTAGCTGGCTCCCATAGGGAGTGGGGAGGGGTGTAGAAGGAGAGAGAAGATGGGTTCACAGTGCCCGTCAATGCTGCCTCTTATCGGCAGGCTTGTGATGGAGGCCCTGTTGATATTGAGCAGCTGGTTGCAAGCGGTTTTGCTGTTGCCGCTGAGGAAACTGTTGCTGGCGCAGCCGGTACTGATGGTATGGCTGGTATCTATGATATCTAGGTTGCTGCCACTTACGACGGTTCGAGTCGGGGATTTCCATTTTCCTGGCGGTGGCTCGAGCATTATTGATACGGTCGAGCTTGTGGTCCATCCAATCATGGAAGAGGCCCGAACCGTCGAACAGCATTCCTTCGATCCGTTTCTTAGTTTCTTCCGGGAAGTTGCACAAAAGTAGCCAGGCATGCCTCCAGAGAGCAACCGAGCCCACTAGGGTGCGAGAATTGCAGTCAACATGATGGTGGGCTGTGGTGAGCTGCTGTATCGCCAGCTGCATCGCCTCTCAAATGAAAACACAGGCGAGATCATGTTGTTGTTCTGGGATGGACGAAGTAATCAAGTCCAGTCGCTGCATCAGAAAGTACCGATACCTCGCCATCGTTGCTTCATAATTTGAAATTCTCAGGCCCAGTCCCATTGCTGGGTAAATTCACCTCACCATGAGGTCGATTTTCTGCCCTTCTCTATCCTTGGGGGCTGAGTGTTCTCTATTGTCCCGCCCTTGCGATGATTCAAGCACAATCGAATTGGGCTTTGGGTGTCGCAAAAGGAAGGGAATGTCCTGTTATCTGAACTTGTACATGGACTCATACCTCTGCGAGGTCGACTGAGGTTGGTCGGGGAAGGTCCATGTCTCTTCCATAGCCTCCCGCAAAGTCGTAATCAACGGAATGGTGATTGCCGATTAC